TGTGGATGCGTGGTCATGTAGAACGTAACAACTGTGGACACGTGGTCATGTAGAACGTAACAACTGTGGATACGTGGTCATGTAGAACGTAATAACTGTGGATACGTGGTCATGTAGAACGTAATAATTGTGGATACGTGGTCATGTAGAACGTAACAACTGTGGATACGTGGTCGTGTAGAACGTAACAACTGTGGATACGTGGTCATGTAGAACGTAATAACTGTGGATACGTGGTCATGTAGAACGTAATAATTGTGGATACGTGGTCATGTAGAACGTAACAACTGTGGATACGTGGTCGTGTAGAACGTAACAACTGTGGATACGTGGTCATGTAGAACGTAATAACTGTGGATACGTGGTCGTGTAGAACGTAACAACTGTGGATACGTGGTCATGTAGAACGTAACAACTGTGGACACGTGGTCATGTAGAACGTAATAACTGTGGATACGTGGTCATGTAGAACGTAATAATTGTGGATACGTGGTCATGTAGAACGTAACAACTGTGGATACGTGGTCATGTAGAACGTAACAACTGTGGATACGTGGTCGTGTAGAACGTAACAACTGTGGATACGTGGTCGTGTAGAACGTAACAACTGTGGATACGTGGTCGTGTAGAACGTAACAACTGTGGATACGTGGTCATATATACTATTAAACTTGTCATCATTCACACGCTTCACTCAATTAAAGGACATCATTGAATGCTAACCAATTTATAAAACATAAAGTTATAATAATAGGATGAATAAACTAGTTCAAAGAATGTAATTTACCTCCAAAACCCTACAATAGCGCTTGGTGTTGTTAGGGAAACAACCGCGTTCCAATACCCGTCTATGTATTCAACTTTGAAACATAATCTTTTAAAATATTTACATTTATCTTTACTTTCTTCATAGTGATATTAACAATTATGATAATAATGATAATAATAATAGTAATGATAATGAAGACATATAATGATGATAGAAGTGTATATGATAATAACAATAATAAGGGTAATGATAACGATCATAACAGTAATAACGTTAACAGTTAAAAAGAATTGCCAATACCAGTTTTCAATACCAGTTATTGTCTTATCATCATTACTATGATCTGTAATATTATAATCATTATTACTGCTATCGTTATCGTTATCAGTATCATTATTATTATTATTATTATTATTATTATTATTATAATTATTATTGTTATTATTATTATTATTATTATTATAATTATTATTATTATTATTATTATTATTATCATAACAATGATAGTAATAAAACGGATAACAAAAATCAAAATCTTCAAGCTAATAATTATAATAGTAATAATGATTATAATAATAATAATAATAATGAGCATAATAATAATAATAATGATAATAATAATAATAATAATAATAATAATAAGGATAATAATAATGATAGCAGTAATAATAATAATGATAATAATAATAATGATTATCATAATAATAATAATAATAATAATAATAATAATAATAATAATAATGATAATGATAAAGATAATAATAATAATGATAATATTAAAAAAAATAATAATGATGAGAAGATGATAGATAACATTGACATTAGAAGAATAACAGGACCAGGAGAAAATGACAAAGAAATAAAGAATAAGAAAAAAATAAGAACAAAATCAACTGGAATCTTCTCTCTCTCTCTCTCTCTCCCTCTCCCTCCCCCCCTCCATTTCGTTACTCAGCATATTAATTGTGATTCGTTCTGGTCGCCCCCCCCCCCCCCCGAACACAGAAACTCCGACTTTTTTCTGTTCTCTTTCCTTCTCTCATACTCTCTAATTCCTTCTTTCCTTCTCTCTCTCTCTCTCTAATTCTTTCTTTCTTTCTCTAACTCTTTCGCTGTCTTTCTCTCTCTCGCTCTCGGTCTCTCTAACTCTTTCTCTCTCGGTCTCTCTTTCTATCTCTCTCTTTATCTCTCCCTCTGTCTCTCTAACTCTCTCTCTCTCCCTCTCTCTCTCTCTCTCTCTCTCTCTCTCTCTCTCTAAGTCTCTTCCCCCTCCTCTCTCTCTCTCTTTCAGTTACTCTCTTTCTCTCTCTCTGTGTCCCTTTAACTCTCTCTTACTTTTAATAACGATGATAACAATTACGAAACGAAGAAGAAGGAACAAAAGAATGGTGACAGTAATAAAAACAATTTCTTCTGGTTAATTAAAACAATTTTCAACCGTTTCTGAAATCGTGTAAGATTAATTTATGTAAATATATAAATGAATATATAAGTTAATCAGTCAGTTAGGTAATTAAGATAAAGTGGGTAAGAAAGAGAGAGTGATAGATATCTAGATAGGTAGATGGATAGAAAGATAGAGAGATAAATAGATGGATAGATAGATAAAAAGGAAGATAAATACAAACAGATAGATATATAAAAAAAAAATAGATAGATAAAAACGGAGAGAGGGATAGGCTGATGGTTAGATAGAGAAAAAGATTGACAGATAGAAAGACAGATAGATAG